AATAAATTTGTTTATTTATTTAGATAAATAAATCTGGGTCAGGACCCCCAATGTTCAGCACAAAGTTACACGATGCCTGCAGGCGCTTTGTATTGGAAGCTAGACCCCACAGTAATACATAAAATAATAATTTTAAAAAGTTTCCGGTATTTGAAGCTGTTAAAATTGAAACGTGTTGCCCGTCAAACAGACGCTTTCTATAAAAACAAGCGGTCTAAAGCAGCCTCGCTTTACGCTCCGCTCAAGCAAAACATTTATGAGGTTGTGTGGTGGGAACTTTGCCCGAGGCCGTGGAGCCTTTTCAGCCCAGAGGAGCACAGAACCACGAGGTTCCACACAGAACCACGAGGTTCCACACAGAACCACGAGGTTCCACGCAGACCGACTACAGGACATGACGGCCGTCAGCTCTGTGCCTCGGGTCTCCGGGTTAGCAGTGATCCCTGTGAGGGCCGCCGATGACGATGAAATGTACCAATAAAGTGCGTCATCTTTACACGTAACAGATAAATAAATTCCACGTGGGGATTCCGCGCACACATGTCGGTGCTGCTGCGGATTTGTCAGGTGGTTTAAACACTAACGCTCGCCGTGGCCCGGTGTGGACCTGCACTGACTGCTCTGTGTTCTAGTAGCATTAAGGTTTGATAACATGCACATTCCTGGATAATGTGACGCACAGTTTGCGCTCAGTGGTGCGGCTCTGCGCGTTCCCGGCAGAGAATCCACGCCACTCTTAACAGTCTGTAAATGAAGGCAGCCGTAAAAACGGGGCGCTTCCACCGGATTACGTGTCAGCTCCCACGGTGAAAAGAGCCACTTTGGCCACGCAGAAAACTCTGACATTACCATCAGCCCAGCTCGCTGAGACATTAATCTCGCCTCGCAGTCCACGCCTCTGATCTTTTCACAATGCTCTGCGTGTTTCTGTCCCGGCTGGCAATCACATGGAGTATTTTCCACACACGCAGTTTAATTACCAGCAAGTTTGGAGCAGAAGCGAAGGTTAAACCAGCGTCAACCGTTCCGTGTGCCTCCGGCATCCGGGATGATTTTCTCACTGCAGGCAGGAACCGCTGCAACACACACACACACACACACACACACACACACACACACAGGGTGATGTGTGGCTCGTCAGCGGGGTTTAAGCCTCCTGTCGTGTGCTGAGATATTCTGGTGACAGTTTACAGGAAAATGTGAAGATTTGCTTCTTTTCTGCTCGTGGCGTGATCGTGTCCCGTTCGTGGGACAGCAGACAGTTGCAGAATGAAACTATAAGGTTTTCAGGACAAAGCCGAAGTTACAACAATGTGCAAGAAGTTACAGCAAAACCCACGTGCGTGATGCTCCAATAGCACATTTCTTTTGTCCACCCACGGTGAGACAAACACACGGCCTGGATATTTGCTTTGAAACTGTTTGTTCATTATTCCCACAGAGGACGTGACCGTATCACTGACACACAATGGCTCGTGTCTCTGCTGAGGTGAAACGACTTCTACAATTTCCACGTTTAGAAATCCTCGTATTCAAAAATATTTCTGTGCTGAGAAAACAAAACAAAGAAGCATCACTGTCCCCGAGCTGGCTTTGAAATCCCTCAAATCGCCAAGTAGGCCACAGAGGGGTGTAGATGTGGCCTGTGGCGATAACAAACAAAATAAATAAATACTAAATAAATAAATACTAAATAAATAAATAAATAAATACAAACAAATGAATGAATGAATGAGCAGATAAATGAATAAAAGATGAAAACCCAAAAGACAAGATGCAATAAAGGAGAAGCTCTCACTGTCGCTGTTAGAAAACTTTTTAAGCAACATTTTCTTCTGTTTTTTTTTGTAGATAATAAATATTTGAATAAAGTGTGTGCATATACACACACACACACACACACACACACACACACGGTTGACATGACGGTTTTAATGCTGTTTCTGAGGAATCGTTGGAGCCTCCTCAGGACAGAGGTGAATGTGTTCAGTAGCCAATCTCCTTCCTCCTGGAGGCCTCGGTACATAGACTAACCAATAGGTATGCGAGCAGTCGTCCAATAGCAGCAGGCCTTCGTGCCCGCGGCACAGAGCAGGCTGTGGATGCGCCACCAGAAAATCACACGGGATGGAGGATGCGCGCGTGCGGAGCTTCTTGGAGACCGTGTGAAAACCAACAGGTTAGAAAGTGAGGTGAGCAGGAACAGCTGTCAGTGTCTCTGCGGCCCTTGGTTCGAGTTTTCCAGCCACTCGTGGAGCTGTTACACGCAGACTGATCGCGCCTGTGAATAAAATAAATTGTTTTTCATTATTATTTTGACCCTTGCAGGGCCTTCTGTGTGCGGCGGTCCGAGGTCTCAGTGTGATGCGTCTGAGCTTCCAGCTTTGAGCCTCACGCGGCCAGGAGTAACCGGGACCCGTCCACGTCAGCCCCGAAGCACCTGGAGGTATGGGCGGGAGTGCACGCGCCAGCTGCAGCTGTGACGTTTAGGCCGCGCGGAGGGAGACGTCTGCTTTGCTATGAGCGTGGATCGGCGCTGACGCAGAAACATGAAGGAGAAGTCGAAAAACGCGGCCCGGACGCGCCGGGAGAAGGAAAACAGCGAGTTTTATGAACTGGCCAAACTGCTGCCGCTGCCCTCCGCCATCACCTCCCAGCTGGACAAAGCCTCGATCATCCGGCTCACAACGAGCTACCTGAAGATGAGAGTGGTCTTCCCCGAAGGTGGGTGCGCTGCCTTTAATAACCAGGAGAGAGAATCATACTAATAATAATCACAGCACGATCAATAAAACTTGTGTTTAAAACAGTTGCGTGGATTTGTTAACGACACGAGCGTCTCTTTATTCTGTTTGGTCCGTGAACAATAACAAGAAGCACACTTTCTCCGTGCGTGTGTTTTTATTTAATATTTACATTTCTAATATTTTTAAATTAAACTTTACTTTTTAAATCTGTTCAGAAAGCAAACGTTACATTCCACAGCACAGTGGAGCTTTTTCCTGTGAGTAAATATCCTGCTTTATCTAACTGCACAGATCGCTGTGGTGAAATAAACACGGCCTCCAGGCTTTTACTCGCGTGTTTCCATATATATTCTTGGCGCTTTGATTTTCCAGGAATTCTAATGCTGCTGACTTTTTAATATTCTGATCAAGAAAAATAGAATTTAGTGGAAACGAAATCGAGATTGTGGGGTCTCCGTGGGGTCCCGGTCGGGCCTGGCAGACATCATTGGCCGGTGTGGATGGAGCTGATTGGAACATGACCACCGTCGGTTTGTTACAAACTGGGAGGCACTGGTTTCACATAATGCAAAATAACGTCCAACTGGACTTTGCTTCAAACTGCTTCCACGATCACGCATTCGCTGGAAATGGATCTTTATTGAATATAAATATGAGCAGAATCACTGTGGAAAGCGGGACAGTCGTGGGATGTATTCAAAGCAAAAACACAGACAGTGATGTAGTTCAGGACTGTCGGTAACCGTGACTCTACGAAGGTCCAGATTCAAGGGAAAATATCTAATCGATGCAAAAGCTCAGCTGGACGGAAGAACGCCATTAAAACACATCCGTCACTTCCGTTTGATGACAGTGACGAACACGCTGGTCCTGCTCCTCAGTCTGCTTCAGGTCTGATGGTTATGAAGACACCAGCAGATGAGCTCCATCAGTGAGTCCGTGGGACTCTGTCACCTGGAAGAACACGAATGAATGAATCAACATAGAGGCATCACGCAGAACTACCGTGGACCAGACCGTGGCATAAAAAGGTCGCCACAGTATAGCAGAGCCAGAGTTGTCCTCCTTCCAGAGTCTCAGTTTTTCTAAGGCCACACGGTGCGTGTGGTGCGGTGCGCACATGAATAACCGTGTGGCACAGTCACCCCCATCCTGCACGCGTGGAGGATGTCTGCGTGTCTCCATACTGAGGAAATGAACTCGTGTTTTTACTGTTTCCATTTAATTAGCTCGTGTATGAGCTTCAAAAACGCGTCAAATAAAGAAAAGCATGACGGGAAAATGTTCCTGCTTTTTTCTAACCGCCTCGTCAGCGCGTGGCTCAGTGTCCAAATATTATTCATTAGATTTTTAAAACATTCCTGCTGAAGATTTTCATTATTCCAGTTTGTGTACTC